GCAACGAAGAGTTGGTTCTTTGAGAAAATCAACAAGATAGACAAACCTTTGTCCAAACTTACCAAACAGCAGAGAGTGAACACGCAAATTAACAAAATCAGAAATGAAAAGGGGGATATAACAACAGACTCTGAGGAAATCCAGAGAATCATTAGGTCATACTTTGAAAACCTGTACTCCACTAAATTCAAAAATTTAAAGGAAATGGATGACTTCCTGGACAGCTATCATTTGCCAAAACTCAATCAAGAACAGATAAGCAATTTAAATAGACCTATAACCCCTATGGAAATAGAAGCAGTCATCAAAAGTCTCCCAACCAAAAAAAGTCCAGGTCCAGATGGCTTCAGTGCAGAATTCTACCAGAAATTCAAAGAACAGCTTATACCAATTCTTCTCAAAGTGTTCCACACAATAGAAGCAGAAGGGTCTTTGCCAAACTCTTTCTATGAGGCTTCAATAACCTTGATCCCCAAGCCACACAAAGATACAACCAAGAAAGAGAACTTCAGACCAATATCCCTCATGAATATTGATGCAAAAATACTCAATAAAATACTGGCAAATCGGATCCAAGAACACATCAAAACAATCATTCACCACGATCAAGTAGGTTTCATCCCAGGGATGCAGGGATGGTTCAACATACGAAAATCCATCAACATAATCCACCATATAAACAAGCTGAAAAACAAAAATCACATGATCATCTCACTAGATGCTGAAAAAGCCTTTGACAAAATCCAACACCCCTTCATGATAAAGGTCTTGGAGAGATCTGGGATAACAGGGACATGCTTAAACATAATAAAAGCTATATACAGTAAACCAACAGCCAACATCAAACTAAATGGACAGAAACTCAACGCAATTCCTCTAAAATCAGGAACAAAACAAGGCTGTCCACTCTCTCCATACCTTTTCAACATGGTACTTGAAGTTCTAGCTATTGCCATACAACAACAAAGGGGGATCATGGGGATACAAATTGGGAAGGAAGAGGTCAAACTTTCACTGTTTGCAGACGATATGATAGTTTACATCAATGACCCAAAGAATTCTACCAGGGAACTCTTCCAGCTGATTAACACCTTCAGCAAAGTGACAGGCTACAAGATCAACTCAAGAAAATCAGTAGCCCTACTATATACAGATGATAAAAGGGCTGAAAAAGAAATCAGAGAAACATCACCCTTTACAATTGCCACAAACAACATAAAATACCTTGGGGTAACGCTAACCAAACAAGCGAAAGACCTGTATCGTAAGGACTCTGAATCTTTAAAGAAAGAAATTAAAGAAGCCCTCAGAAAATGGAAAGATCTCCCATGCTCTTGGATAGGTAGGATCAATATAGTAAAAATGGCAATCCTGCCAAAAGCAATCTACAGATTCAATGCAATCCCCATTAAAATCCCAGCACAATTCTTCACAGACCTCGAAAGAACAATAATCAATTTTGTATGGAAAAACAAAAGATTCAGGATAGCCAAAACAACCCTGTTCAACAAGGCAACGTCCGGAGGCATCACCATCCCTGACCTCAAGCTCTATTATAGAGCTATAGTCCTGAAAACAGCTTGGTATTGGCACAAAAATAGACAGGTAGACCAATGGAATCGAATTGAAAACCCGCATATTAACCCACACACGTACGAACATCTGATCTTTGACAAAGAAGCTAAAAATATACAATGGAATAAAGAAAGCATCTTCAACAAATGGTGCTGGCATAACTGGAGACTGGCATGTAGAAGAATGCGGATCGATCCATGTTTATCACCATGCACAAAACTTAAGTCCAAAAGGATCAAAGACCTCAACATAAATCCAGCCACACTGAACCTCTTAGAAGAGAAAGTGGGTGGTACCCTTGAACGAATTGGTACAGGAGACAGCTTCCTGAACATAACACCAGTAGCACAGACAGTGAGATCAACAATTAATAAATGGGACCTACTGAAACTGAGAAGCTTCTGTAAGGCAAAGGACACAGTCAGCAAGACAAAAGGCAGCCCACAGAATGGGAAAAAATATTCACTAATCCCACATCTGACAGAGGGTTGATCTCCAAAATTTACAAAGAACTCAAGAAGCAAGTCTCCAAAACATCAAAGGACCCAATTAAAAAGTGGGCTGCAGAACTAAATAGAGAGTTTTCAATAGAGGAGTCTAAAATGGCTGAGAGGCACTTGAGAAAGTGCTCAACATCCTTAGCCATCCGGGAAATGCAAATCAAAACAACTCTGAGGTACCATCTCACTCCTGTCAGAATGGCTAAAATCAAAAACACCAATGATAATTTATGCTGGAGAGGATGTGGTGAAAGGGGGACACTCCTCCATTGCTGGTCGGAGTGCCAACTGGTTCAGCCACTTTGGAAATCAGTATGGAGACTCCTCAGAAAAATGGGAATAAACCTACCACAAGACCCAGCAACTCCACTCTTAGGCATATATCCAAAAGATGCCCATTCATACAACAAAGATGTCTGTTCCACTATGTTCATAGCAGCTTTATTTGTAATAGCCAGAACTTGGAAGCAACCTAGATGTCCCTCAACCAAAGAGTGGATAGAGAAAATGTGGTACATTTACACAATGGAGAAAAAGTAATGGAATCATGAGATTAGCAGGCAAATGGATGACACTAGAAGAAACCATTCTGAGTGAGGTAACCCAGTCACAAAAAGAGAAACATGGCATGTACTCTCTCATATATGGATTTTAGACATAGATCTGGGGAATGCCAGCCTACAATCCTATGGCCAGAGAGTCTGGGAAACAGAAACTTCATTTAGTGGCTGATCAAAGAAGAGGCAGACTCCCTCGGTTAAGTACTGAGCTGAACTCAAGAAAGCCAGTAACAGAGAGGGAGGACTGATGATCAAAGGGATTAAGACTGGGCTGGTTTAACCCCCAGAAACAGCTGACCAGACAAAGGTTTACTCTTGAATCCCAGGCATCAGCCTGGGAATCCAGCATGGGACTGACCAAGACCCCCTGAATCTGGGTGTCAGTGAGGAGGTCTAGGTAATCTATTGAGCCTTGGGCAGCAGATCAGTACCCATCCCAAGTATACACACGGACTTTGGACTCCCACAGAACAATGTGAGGTGCACTCTCACCCTGAACTCTTGGGGAAGGGTCTAGGCCCTGCCCTATATGAAATGACAGACTATGGACAACCCCATGGAGGGCCTTACCCTCCCTGGGGGAATGAGCGGATAGCAGGGGGTTGGGGGGAGGGCACGGGAGGAGGGGAGGGAAAGGGAGAGGGACCTGGAACTGACTAGTGAAGCAACCTTGTTTCTTATCTAAATTTAAACTGGAAAATTAAAAAAAACTTGAAAAAAAAGTGGGCTGCAGAACTAAATAGAGAATTTTCAATAGAGGAGTCTAAAATGGTTGAGAGACACTTGAGAAAGTGCTCAGCATCCTTAGCCATCAGGGAAATGCAAATCAAAACAACTCTGAGATACCTTCTTACTCCTGTCAGAATGGCTAAAATTAAAAACACCAATGCAATTTATCCTGGAGTGGATGTGGAGAGAGGGGAACACTCCTCCACTGCTGGTGGGAGTGCCAACCCGTACAGCCACTTTGGTAATCAGTATGTAGATTCCTCAGAAAAATCAGTCTACCACAGGATCCACCAATTTCACTCTTAGACGTATACCCAAAAGATGCACATTCATACAACAAAGACATCTGTTCAGCTATGTTTATAGCAGCACTATTTTTAATAGCCCGAACCTGGAAGCAACCTAGATGGCCACCAACTAAAGAGTGGATAGAGAAAATGTGATACATATACACAATGGAGTACTACTCAGTGGAAAAAAACAATGAAATCTTGGAATTTGCTGGCAAATGGATGGCACTAGAAGAAACCATCCTGAATGAGGTAACTCAGTCACACAAAGACAAGCATGGTATGTACTCACTCATATATGAATTTTAGGCCTGAAACAGGGTGTGGCAGCCTACAATCCCCAGCCAGAGAGTCTGGGAAGCAGGGAGGACCCTAAGAGACAAATGCATGTAACCCAGAGAAGGGGAATAGGACAGAATCTTCTGAGAGGATTGGGAGCACTGGGTCGGGGGAGAGGAAGCTGGGAGAAAGAGGGTATGAAGAGGAGGGGAGAGTAGGACATGGGGGAGCAGGAAGTTTGAGTAGTGGGAAGAATAGAGGAGAGAAGGATGAGAGATACCATAATACAAGGGCCATTATTGGTTTGAAGACAGTTTGGTACTAGTGAGATGTCTAGAGGCCTACAAAGATGACACCAGCTGGCAACCAAACCAATACTGGAGAGGCTACTTAAATGCCCTTCCATGATATTGTGATTGATGATTTCCATGTATGCTATCCTAGAGCCTTCATCCAGTGTCTGAAGGAAGCAGAGGCAGACACCCACAGCAAAACACTGAACTAAACTCCTGGAATCCAGCTGCAGAGAGGGAGGAGTGATGAGCAAAGGGGTTATGACTTGGTGGGTGAAAACCACAGAAACAGCTGACCTGAAAAAGCCCGAGCTCATAGACCCCAGACTGATAGCTGAGAGGCTAGCATGGGACTAATCGAGACCCCCTGAACATGGGTCTCAGTGAGGAGGCCTCGGCAACCTTTGGGGCCTCAGGCAATATATCAGCATTTAGGCCTGTCATCCAGATGGACCTTGGGAGCCCATTCCATGTGCAGGGATACTGTCTCCACCTGGACACATGGGGGAGGTTGAACGGTGTGGGAGGGGAGGGGAGGGAGAGGGAGCTGGGATTGACATGTGAAGCAAACTTGTTTCTAATTCAAATTAAATAAAAATTTTAAAAAAGAATAAAGAATAAGATAATGGGTGATTTTTCGAGTGAGGTGGTTGTCGCCCGTGTTGTGTGTGTGTGAGTGTGTGTGAGTGAGTGAGTGAGTGAGGAAGCGAGTGAGTGAGTGAGTGTGTGCGTGGGGGCACTCGGCTTGTTGTTGTCGGTGACTTCCCCCTTCCCTCCACTGCAGTGGCCGCTCCCTGGGCCGTAGGAAATGAGCGATAACGATGACATCGAGGTGGAGAGAGGCGCTGACAAACGGGCTCATCATAATGCACTGGAACGAAAACGTAGGGACCACATCAAAGACAGCTTTCACAGTTTGCGGGACTCGGTCCCATCACTCCAAGGAGAGAAGGCATCCCGGGCCCAAATCCTAGACAAAGCAACAGAGTATATCCAGTATATGCGAAGGAAAAACCACACGCACCAGCAAGACATTGATGACCTCAAGCGGCAGAATGCTCTTCTGGAGCAACAAGTCCGTGCACTGGAGAAGGCAAGGTCAAGTGCCCAACTGCAGACCAACTACCCCTCCTCAGACAACAGCCTCTACACCAACGCCAAGGGCGGCACCATCTCTGCCTTCGATGGAGGTTCAGACTCCAGCTCAGAGTCCGAGCCTGAAGAGCCCCAGAGCAGGAAGAAACTCCGGATGGAGGCCAGCTAAGCCATGTGGGGCAGGCCAGCAATAAAAACTGTCGTCTCCATCGTCTCTTCCTCCTCAGTTCCTCGTTAGAACCCTCGAAACCATTGAAAGACTCTTAATTTTCCTTTTCTCTTTATTAATTGTTATTTTTGCATAGAAGCTCTTGGACAACAGCTCTCATCACGTCCCTGTGTCCACTATTTTTAAATGTATTCCCTTCAGGGGTTCCTGTCCCCACCAGAAATTTTAAACCAAAACACCCTAACTTAGCAGCTCTTTCTGTGGAGGACAGACAGCCGGCCAGACCTCTGAGTACATGGTGTCCTGCGCCCCCTCCCCCAGCTCCTCCAGCCCTCAGAGTGTGTGCCTGGAGGGTGCCTGCTCCACGGGCCCCTCCCAGTCCCCTCACCTCTGTTTGGTGGACTTTGTGACTCTCTGAACTGCTCTACTTTGACAAGATGACCAGATTGGAGTAATGAGAGTTAACCCCTCCTCTGTAAGGATTGTTTTTGAAAAAGCTATTGCTCCTATTGAAAGACCAGATTCTTGAAGAAGTTTGTGGTGTAAAAGGAAAGCAGGGACAGGATTGCAGAATCCTTGGCATGTTTCACTCTTCAGTTATTTAAGTCTGCAGAGCCAGCCTTACAGAAGGCCACGTGACACTGGTATGTATAGGAGGTGGCAGCAGTGAAATGGCCTCCCAGGAGTGGTGGGGTGGCTGTTTGTGGGTGGGACAGGGAGGGAGTCTTAGGTGGGGTAGAGGTTTTGTATTAAGGGCCAGTGATGATGTTTTGATATTTATTTCCTGCTACTGAAATTCGAATTTGAATGAAATGCCCCTATTTCTGATGATGTCGATATTGTAAAGCGACAGATTCATAAAGCAATGATCAAATCTTCATTTCTTTCTGTGTGTATTTCTAAGAAACAGAGCCAACTTTTATATGTAAATATCAAGAGCAACTTACCTGGTACTAAACCCACAGCCCAGTACAACCTCCCTGCCCTACTTGCCTCCTGTCCTGGAACTTGTCGCCACTGTGTGATCCAGCCCTGGCTCTGGCTGTGGTCAGCAGATCCCAGTGAAGGGTTTCATGTCTTTAGGCTTCATTTCTTTGTCTTTTTCCTACTCTGTTGCCAGCATTTGCTGATTTCTAGTGTATACTCTGTAGTCTCAGTCGGTATTTGATTCCATTCCATGGAAATAAAAAGTATGTTGTACATACTGCCCAAGAATTGTCTTGCAAGTTAAGGCTTCCCCCTTTACTATAAGAATATAAATAAAGACTTATTTTATCCTTAAAAAAAAGATGATGGGTGATTTTTCAATTAAAAACAGTGGGAGGCACCTCCCTCATAATTAACACAATTAATATACACAAAGAGCAATCTGATCTAGACAACCCTTCATGGTGATTATAGATTGTTAAATTGAAAACTAACCACATAAACTTTGAACCAAAATTACCAGAACAGACATTCCATAGTCAGATTGACTAAAGTAACAACTCATCAAAAAGATATATATCATCAAAAAGATTTCATAAAATAAATACTAATAGACGTGAAGTTACGAGATATATACCAAACCTGATTTCATAAAATAAATACTAATAGACGTGAAGTTACGAGATATATACCAAACCTGATTTCATAAAATAAATACTAATAGACGTGAAGTTACGAGATATATACCAAACCTGATTTCATAAAATAAATACTAATAGACGTGAAGTTACGAGATATATACCAAACCTGATTTCATAAAATAAATACTAATAGACGTGAAGTTACGAGATATATACCAAACCTGATTTCATAAAATAAATACTAATAGACGTGAAGTTACGAGATATATACCAAACCTGATTTCATAAAATAAATACTAATAGACGTGAAGTTACGAGATATATACCAAACCTGATTTCATAAAATAAATACTAATAGACGTGAAGTTACTGAGATATATACCAAACCTGATTTCATAAAATAAATACTAATAGACGTGAAGTTACGAGATATATACCAAACCTGATTTCATAAAATAAATACTAATAGACGTGAAGTTACGAGATATATACCAAACCTGATTTCATAAAATAAATACTAATAGACGTGAAGTTACGAGATATATACCAAACCTGATTTCATAAAATAAATACTAATAGACGTGAAGTTACGAGATATATACCAAACCTGATTTCATAAAAGATGTGAAATTACAAGTTAACCTTAACATAATAGGAGTTGGTGACTTTAGTATCTCACTCTGGTCAAACAATAGGCTATCCTGGCAGAAAATAAACATCTAAGTTAAATGACATCACAGATCAATGTACTTACAAGACAACTTCAGAATATTCATTCCACAATACACATTCTTCTCATATGTCCACATGTTGTATTAACTTTTCTGGGGGAAACACAAAAAAATGTCCATTAACTCTAGATGGACACCATGGCAGACCATAGTACAATCTCATCATATCCAACTTGATGAGACCAATTATTTTATTTCTCTTTCCCACAGGACATAGGTGAGAGGTTACAGTAGTTTGGTGACCCATAAACTGCTCCATCACTGTAAAGGCTGCACCATATGGATCCTGATTTTCTAGAAGCTTATGATAGAGAATCTCTTTCAGTTAACTTTCTATGTCCTATAAAGTTAAGCATTACACAAGAACACTGGTAGCCAAATCAAGCCTGGTGATCAATGGGGTGACAGATGTTGCAGCCAGATCACCAGCAAGGCGGTCAAGACCATGCTGGTGAAACCCACAAAGACAGCTGACTGGACAAGGGGAAGATCTTGAACCCCAGGCTGATGACTAAGAGGCCAACAGGGGACTGATCCAGACTCCATGAATGTAGTCTCAGTGAGGAGGCCTCAGAAATCTCTCGGGCCTTGGGTAGTAAACTAGTGTTCACCATGGCATACAAATGAACTTTGGGAGCCCATTCCACGTGGAGGGATGCTCTCTCAGCCTGGACACATGGGGAAGGGCCTAGGTCCTGCTCTGAATGAAATGAAAGACTCTGGAGATCCCCCCAAGGAAGCCCTTAACCTTCCTAGGGAAGGATGTGAGGATTGGGCTGGGGTGGGGGTTGGGAGTGGGGCTGGTGGAGGGAGAAGCAGGGAGCTGGGATTGACATTTGAAACATACATGTTTCTAATTTAAATAAAAAACATACTTAAAAAAAGAACACTGGTAGCTGAAGGAGACAGCATAGAAACAGTATCTGGAATCTCAAGGAAGGTTACTCCTGCACCTACTTTATCTACAAAAGAATGTTAATAGCTCAGTTACTATTCCATAGAGTTGGCTACCACTGTACTCCTTCCTGTGTTCTACTTGCTATGTGCACTGGAACAAAGTCCAAGATGGCATCTTGTTAATGCCCAGTCAAAAAGTGCTATACAACCCCATCATAATTTTATGTACCTTACTCTAAAATTTATCAATATTAGGACAGAAAACAGTACCTAACAAATGCCTTATCAAAATGGAATAAAATGCATGCAAATCAGTAGCAAAGAAACTAAGGAACAAACACAAACATATGGAGACTAAACAATCTACTCTTCAGTGTTAGATGGGTCATTGAGAAAAAATCAACACATTACTAGAAAAGAAGGAAAATGAAAACATACTATAATCCACTGGACATGATAAAAGCTACACTAAGAGGTAAGGTTATAGCTATAAATGACTACATTACAAAATCAGACAAATTTTAATTAAATAACTTGACACATCTTGAGTCTTTGTACAATTAGTACAAGTCAAACTCAAAACTGATAGATCAAAAATATTAAAATCAAGGCAGAAATAAATGAAAAGGAAATGAAAGAAAATCGATGAAACAAAGTTGGTTCTTTGAAAAGATGGGGAAAGTCTTAGCAAAACTAATTTAAAGAAAGAGAGCACTCATATTAATAAAATTAGGGATCTGGAGGGAGGCAATATTTCTTAGATATATTCTACTCTCAGTTACTCCATATTGTGTGAAACAACGATCTTTTAGCCTGTTCATTATCCTGAACATCCCCTGGAGATCCCTAAACAACTAGGCCGATGCTTGAACTGTGGTGACATATTGTTTATGATTTATTAAAGTCACTGGAGATCAAAATAGCAAAGCAGCCAGCCACTAGCTCTTACCTCTACCTCAGCTCAGACCAAAGGTGCAATCCTCAAATTGCTCCCAACTTCACTGCTCCTCAGATTCATTGAGACTGGTATGCTTTCCTCAACATGGCTAGAGACTAATTCTCAGACTGATTGCCTCTAACTTCTATACCTCTCAGTTCCTGGGATTAAAGCCATGAGCTCTGGTTCACTCTCTGGTAGCCCAGAGTGGTCTTGGAGTTTCATCTGCCTTTGTCTCCTCGGTTCTGTGAGTAAAGGTGTGTCTTCCTGGCTTCTATAGCTAACTAGTATGGCTGCTTTGCTATTTTGATCTCCAGTGGCTTTAATAAATCATAAGCAATATATCATCACAGTAGGACAGACTCCTTTTTAAAATTTTATTTATTCTCTCATTCATTACATCCTGGCTACAATTTTCCATCCCTCTGTGACTTCCAGCAACTTATTTCCCAAATCCATTGCTCCTACATTTCCCTTCAAAAAGAGCAGGCCTCCCAGGGATTGACCAAATACAGCAGAACAAGATACAGTAAGACTAGGCACAAACTCTCATAGCAAGGCTGAACAAGGTAACCCAATAGGAGGAAGAGGGTTCTAAGAACTGGCAAAAGAGTCAGAGGTACCTCCCACTCTTACTGTCAAGAGTCCCACAAAAACACCAAGCTTAGAACCATAGCATATATGCAGAAGACCTACTACGAGTAAATGTAGGCTCCGTGATTTCTGGTTCAGTATCTGCAATCCCCTATGAACACTGCTTAGTTGACTTTGTGGGCTGTGATACCAGTGGTGTCCTTGACCCCTGTGGTTCCTACAATTCTTCCTACCATTATTCCTGGGTGGGGTGTTGATTCTGTGGGCTGTGATACCAGTGGTGTCCTTGACCCCTCTGGTTCCTACAATCCTTCCTACCATTATTTCTGGGTGGGGTGGGGGTGGTTCCCTGAGCTCTGTCTAATGGTTGACAGTGGGTCTCTGTATCTGCTACCATCTGTTGCTGGATGACACCCCTCTGATGACAATCGGACTAGGCACAAATCAATTAGTATAACAGAATATCATTAGTAAACATTTTGTTGACTTTTTTGTCGGTACTGTTTGGTTCTGTCCTAGATCTTTGGGCTATTTACCAACCTCTGGTTCCTGGTCATCCAGGTAATGTCAGGATGGCATAGGCCTCAAGTTGAACCAGTCTCTGGGATGTTAAATGAATAAATAAATTAATATTTCGCTAAATCAGAAAATCTAAAAAGAGCAGGTGAATTTCTACATGTGTAATGCCTACCAATATTAAGCCAAGATGAAATAAATAAATAAACCAGATCTATGAAACAAGCATTAAGATTTAAGTAAAGATAATATGAGAAAATCTTCTTCAATGTTTAATTCTACAATGTAGTCAAAGAAAAACAAAACATCAATACTTTTCAGACTATTCCATAAAACATGAAAGGAAAGAGCACTACAATTTTTTCCACAAAGCCATTATTATCTTGATATCAAAAACAGATAAAAACACAACAAAAATTATAGGCCAATCTCCCCAATGCACATATATACAAAACCCTTGAAAATTGAATTAGAAAAATCAAAGAGGCAATTCAACAACATAAAACAGGCTTTATTAAAGAAATAAAGACATGGTTCCACATATTAAAATTAATAAATATAATGAAACATATAAATGTACTCAAAAACACAAATCACACGATAATTTCAATAGCTATAGAAAAGTTTTTTTGGCAAA